GTTGGGTGAAACATGGTATCCGAAGGGTCGGGGACCTTTGGGATATGAAGGCGAAAAGCAGGAAGAGCACGGAAAGAATGCGAGCATGTCTGCATTACTGCCATTTTACGGAGACCGGATTGAACGATCACATCGACAGTTTCCTCCTTCAATGGTACAATACCCTACGAAAAGGTCTCTGCATAAAGGAAGGAGATTGGGTAGGGCTGCCCGACCACGACAGGGAGGTAGGGCATGTGCACTTGGCAGACCAATCACACGTATTGATCGAAGTCTTCTCCATCGAAAAGGGCGAAGAATTACAGTGGAACCAACAACCCTTCATATGGAAGGAGCGAAAAGGCGTTTATCGGGTTAGGATTATTGATGAAGGCGGTCGCCAGAGGGTGTATTGCCCAATGATCCCGATCGAAGACCTCCCCATAGACCCCGAAGAGTGGCAATGGTCCCTAGACACCCGGACCAGGAAGGGGGAAGCAAACACGTTGACACTATTCAACTTAAAGTCCAAATCAGCCTACCGAATGCTCAGACTTAAATGCAGACTGCGGGACCGTGTTGAAGACAAATGGTATCACCATCTCAATATAGACCGCAGCTTGCTTAAACCCATCCGATGGTTTGCACACTACAGCAGTAGACCTGCCAAAATCTCTGCCCTCCAGTGGCAAATAGAACACAGATGTCTACCAACCAATGACTGGCTGATAGACCACACACACCTGGAACAACAAGGGAAGGCTCTGCCATGGTGCCATAAATGTCTCCAGAGCTACCCTGGGAGAAAGCGGGCTGAGACCATAGAGCATATCTTTCTTCAATGTGCCGCAACGGTGATGTTGTGGAGAAGTTGGGATAGGATTTGGCGACACACTGTTCCGAGTGCAGTGTGGCCATGGGAGTGGCGGGCCATACTGTTGGGGTACTACCCTCCAATCCGGTGAAATATATTTGAGGAAAATATGTTCAACCTGGGGAGACGGAGCGTCCTCTGGGCCATCTGGTGGAGGAGATGTATCCAGGAGGTTGAGGGGGCGGGGGTGGAAGATGGAGAAGTTATGGAACAAATATGGACATTGGTTCAACACGAAATTGCGACCCGATGGAAGGCAGCCAAAGACAAGCTGGACCAAATGCACACCTGGGGGGATATGAGCAGGATTATCTCCTGTTACAGCAAGAACTGGCTGGGAGGGGAAAGGAAGGGATGGGTGGCCGAGGTAAAATGGTCCGGGGATTGTCGGCCTGACGAAGAACCACAAGAGGAACCCCGGAGAGAGATGGTAAGAGACTACCAGCTGATCTTTCACGACTGGACTAAGATAGATCCCGGCAGCCCACTCTGTGCTGCGCACGAATTCGCAGATCCCTTCCCCCCCCACCCGGTGTCCTTGGAAGAAAGATTGCCGCTTTCATGACCCCAGGGGCCGGGTGGTAGGATCTGGTGGGATACAGCCTGTCGCAGCTCAGTCCAGTTCAAGTCCATTCAGCCATTTCAACTATTTCAGCTATTTCAGGTTGTCCTGTCTATCTCAGCTGCTCTGCTTACCTCTGTTTTCTGCTCATCTGGTTATCTTTGCTTATCCTTGTTTATCCCTGTTTATCTCTGCTTATCTCTGTCCTCTTCAATGCATTCTCAGTTAGGTTTGGAAGAGTAGATTGGATAAGGGACGCTGGACCCGGTTTCCAGCAGGCGATGCCTGTTTTCCCTGTTCTTCTTGGCTCCTTTTGAAGTTCTTTTCGGCCTGCTCAGTCAATCCCCTGGGTTGCTGGGTATTCAACGTTGGCAGGCCCCACAATCCTCACTTTTGCTCAGATATTCTAATTTTGGTATATGGGACACGGGACACCGTGAGGATAGTAGGTGGAGGGCAGGAGCTAGGGGAGGGAGGGGGAGTCCACTGGTGCCCCCTGGTGGTTCTCCTCCCAGTACCCGACGGTGTTGCAGGTTAGGTATGAAGGGAAAAGTTAGATATGGGACGCTGGACCCGGTTTCCAGCCCAAGGGCGTCTCTCTCAAGGGTGTACTGTTTGGTACTGTTTTGTACTGTTTTGTACAGATGTATTCATGGGACGCTGGGCCCGGTTCCCAGCAGGTGAGGCTCCCCACCAATAGACGGAGCGGCCCGCCAGGCAAAGCCTCAATCCCGGTGGTTCTCTTACCACCACCAAGATAGAGGCCTTGTATAAGGAAGGGCCTTGCTTGAAAAAAAAAAAAAAAAAAGAAAAAAAAAAAGAAAAGAAAAGAAGCAAACCCTAAGATCTGTGAAAAATACTAACAAACAGCTGCAAACCCCGATCATCCAACCCTAATACTGTTTCAACACACGGCAGGTTCGATAACAACAGCTAGTTTCTATAGGCCAACAAAATCAACAAGCCAACATGAACCTATTCTCATTGCTACCTGCAATCCCGCAAACCTCATTCCCCATAGCTGCAAAAGTCAGGTGTCCAACCCTAGTTTCCACCAACCATAAACTGACAATCACCTACAACATATCAATCCCACAATCTAACTATTTTCTTTACATAACGATATTCCTCGTCCGAGGCAACCACAATTTCTACAATCGTTCAAAACATAATTCCTATTGTCTGCAAAGAATACAAAAGGTAGCAGACGTAGAACAAGCCCTAGTTTCAACAACAAAGTACTAGCAAATTACTATTTCTATCACCAAACCTACAAAATCATATTCTTCATGTCTGCAATCCCGCAAACTAAATTTCCATTAGCTGCAAACCCCGATCATCCAACCCTAGTTTCCACAGTTTCATCCACACGACAAATTCAATAACAGCAGCTAGTTTCTATAGTCCAACAAAATCAACAAAGCAGCATAGCTCGTGCGGTCAGCTCCATCGCACCGCGGCATTCTATCGTCATACAGCTCTGGCAAATTTTCGCCGCAGGCCGCCCATAATTGCTCATAGACAGGATAACCCCGCAGCATCTCCATATCAAAGACCGAAGGACTAAGCCCACGATCAGTTCCATCAGGTGTGAATCAGTTATAATCCAGCTGAAACTCTGGCAAATCGCAATGCTCGGATCCCGCCCGTCGAACGTCCACACATCCGCCACCATCCTTCCTCGTTCGAACAGGATTACTAACCCCAGTCAGCCGGGACTGGCCCATGGCAAGGGCTCTTCAGACCCTCTTGCAGCGTGTCCCTCTTAGTGCCCACACACTCGATCGCTAGCTTACGCAGCAAAATATTTTCCGTTATAAACTTGTACTGCGCTAGCGCAGCGCAGCGTTAACTCCGGGAGAGATGTGGCCCTGAGGCAAAAGCTGTTCGATTTATTTTTCTGCAGAACATAGTTGGTTTTCATATTTTTTTGAATTTTTATTTATTTTTTATTTTTTGCTTGGACCTTCGCTGGTCCTTGCACGGGCTGGCCACCCGGGACCCGGGCGGCCCGGCTGGTAGCCTAGCAATCTATGCTATTTTAAGTTTTTTTTGTTATTTTATTTACCTCTTGGTATATAGAAGCATAAGAAGGACGCTGCTGGGTGGATTCTCAACTCGCCGATTTTCTGAAGCCCCAAGGCTACGGGGGACCACCTCTGTGGGCAGGCACGGTCTAGGGATCGGTTGTGCTATAGGAACCAGGCAGCAAATTTTGTTTCCCAGTAGAAGGACCAGGTGTACCATTTGGGTAGGTTAGCAGGACTGGCTGCGGGACTGAATAGGACAAACAGCACATCGCATGCCAGTTGTACCATAGTAGGAATAGACAGAACTGGATGGTATATGCGGGAATCTAGTGAGGTAGGTAGACGAACCTGGTCAACTGTAAGCCTAGACACGGGTTTTAGAATTAATTGATGGAATGGAAGGAAGGGGAAAGCTATACGGCTTTGTTGGCCTATGTTGCAGCCCGGTAAAGACAGGCACACGAGGGAGTATGGATACGTGGCTCAAGAGGAGCGCTAGTGAGGGTGAGCAAGTGTGAGGAGTGCACGCCATTGGGTTGCGAGCGGTGTCTGGGTCGGAGCCAGTCAGTTACGACCTGAGCCCTACCAGGTCTAGCTATATCTGCGGAGGGCAAGGCCAGAACACGGCCCTTTGTGCTCGTTGAAGGAAAGACACGTGGATGCGGGAGAGTGCTATGCCCCTTGAAAAGTCCTGGAGCGCAGCCAGGTGAAACACGTCGGGGAATGTGTGCGTTTCTGAGCTTTCTATTTGTAAGCAGTTTTTGAACGAGTGATTTCGTGTTGCTTGGACGTCAGGCGATTGGTTTATCTTCTGTCTATGCTACTCTATACTGGTGGTTTCACAGAGTGAAAGAGTGATGCTCCCCAATCCCATCGACCCACCACCTACAGAACTACCCTGCCACCCAGATGGCAGGGTCACACCCCAAGTCAGACTCCATAGCTCTATCCACCACCCGTGACTCAAGGTAGAATGCCACCCATTTCTGCAGTCGCTCCTTACAAGGACGCTCACGTCCCACCATGATGATGCCTTCACAGAGCGGTGCTTACCGAACTTCCACAGCTCATCACGCAAAACAACGGGTGAACCTGCCACCACCTGCAATTCAAGGTAGAACGCAACCCATCTCCGCAATTGCTCCTTACAAGGATGCTCCCCTCCCGCCATGAGGATCCCTTTTGAAGCCGGCGCAACCTTTTGCCCCTATGCGAACACACCGCCGCCGCTTCAGCCAACAGCAAGCTCTGGCAAGCTACCTGCATTGCGGCACAATGTCCTCCGCTCGGGCGCCAAACAAAAAGAGTTTACCCTGTCCGGTGCTCCCACTATTCAGAAGTTCTAAAAAATTTTACGATATCGTAAAAAATAAGTGTCAGAATTTAGTACATTGCATAGCTACTCAGCCATAACAAGTGCTCTCCGAACAGTGCGAGATGGTCGCCCATCACACGGCTCTCCAACCTGAGTAACCTTTGTGGCGTGCCTGACACAATGGAATTTGCTTACGCCGGACTGGAACCGGATGCCGGCCGCCGGACGTCCCGGCCCCATCCGGACTTCCAGAAAACCAGAATATTCCAGAATTTCTGGACCGGTCCGGATCCACTGTCCGGATGTTTATCCAGATGGCTTCGTTTTTTGAGGGAAGAAAGGAGGAAGAGGAGGAGGAGGAGAAGGAGGAGAGGGAGAAAGGAAAGGAGGGTGGACTTGAAGAGGAAAAGGAGGAGGAGGAGGAGGAGGAGGAGGAGGAGGAGGAGGAGGAGGAGGAGGAGAAAGAAAAGGAGGGCGGAGTTGATGTGGAAGAGGGGAGGACCAAAAACGAGGGTGGAGTTGATGAGGAGGAGGAGGATGGTGAGGAGCGGAAGAGGGACAAAGAAAAGGAGGGTGTAGTTGAGGAGGAGAAGGAGGAGGAGGAGGACAACGACGACGATGACCACGACGACGGCAACGACTAGAAAGAAAAGGCTGAGGAGAAGATGTACGGCACAGGAGGAGAAGGAGGAGGTGGAGGCAGCAGCAGGGCAAGAAGACGCACAGCTGGAGGAGGAGGAAGAAGGCGTCGGTCTCCGTGCTGCTCCGCACAGCTGGAGGAGGAGCCCCTCTAATTCTCGCCCTGGTCGCTGCGCTGCTCCACCCACCTCCCTGTGCTGCTCCGCACGCCACATTTGCTCCCTCCCTGGCAATGGACGATGGTGGAGCTCGAAGGGCACTTTGAAACGATCTAGTCGACGTGAAGGGGGGGCAGGGATGGCAGCTATTCAAATTTGGCGCTGCCTTTGGCGTCCGCGAACCCCCCCCTCAATCGTTCCAAAAAAAACAAGAAAACAAACAAAACAAAGTAACGAACTCTACTTTCCGGCCCTTCCGGATCAAAGGGAAGGGTGGGAAAAAATAGGCGCCATTTTTTCTTGGCGGCCCAGAACGTAAAGAAATGCCCTGGGCCGCCAAAGCAAAATTTTGCCATTGGCTATGGGGCTTGCCATCCGGACTGGGATGCGGACTCCAGTACCGGACTCCGGACGGTCTGGATCCCTGTCCAATGGTCCGGATCGCTACAATGGTACAATGATACATACTACCTGCATGTGCACCGGGAACCAAGTCCCACTTGGCCAGATTCTTCAGTTCTGGGTGTCGATCTTCATAATCTACAGTAAGGAGTCGAGAATTTGGCTATGTCCGACTTTGCTCCAGGCCATTGGCACATTATGGGCTGGCAGGCGTCCACACTTTGTTTTGGTTTGGGGGGGGGAGGGGGGGGGGGGGGGGGAGGGGACTGGCAGCATGAGTTTTTTTCCACATTCAGGGCCGACTGTTGGCCTGTTGTTGGTCTCTGAAGGGAAATCCAGTCTCACTTGTCATGACAGGAATGCCACGATCCCACTGGCAAAGAGGATTGGATTAAGTTTCTCAATCTGGATGTCATAGATGCAGGAAAGCAGATGAATCTCGATTTTGTACACTTTTCCCAGAAAGAGGTTAAGATTCAGGCGCTACATACAATCCTGTTTGCTACTGGGACCTCGCCCCAGGAATCTCAGGGATGCCACCTGACTGGAGAAAACTCAACGGTGTGACACATTTTTGGCCCAATAAAAACTCGAAACAAATGAAACCCTATGGTGAGATGGGAAAACAAATGTTTGGCTGTATTTTGCAAAACTTTAAGGAAATTTGCGAATGCAACAGTTGCCTGCCACCCAGTGAGAGAAACACAGTGGCTTGGGGGTAAGACTGTACCTTCAAGCTCCAAGTGGATATTCTCACCTCACCATTTGTGGGAGTGAACGTGGATGCAATGCTCCGCGAGGTGCATCCTCATGAGGTGCTTGTTGCAGGTTCTCCTTTGGACTCATGATGCGGTTTATGGATTTTTTCTTTTCTTGAATGAGGTTTGAGGAGACTTAAGCCTAGTAGTCATGACCATCTGCAGTGTGTAGGTCGAGTATCTGCAACAGGGCACATTCCCACAAGGGCTTTCCTGGATGTGTTTGACCAGAATTCTACCTTGACCTAGATGTATCGGACAGCAGTTCCATCCAGCATTCAGTCATGAAAAGTCCTTCTGTGAATATGCTCTCAGTCCTATGTGTCTTACTTATGTTCTGATCCAACCAGTGGCTATTTCTGGGACCCGAACCGTTGGCGTTCAGCTCTGAAAAAAGTTTGCGAATCCAAGTGCACATTCGGACAACAAAAAGAAAAGAAGAAAAAAAGAAAAAAAACAAATGCACATTCCTATCCATAGGCGGACACCACTCCTCATAGCTACTTTGAAGTTAGACCCTCCTCTGGTGATTCAAATCAACCCTGCTCTGGGGATTCAAATTTTGCCCTGGCTAACAACATTGTATAGCATGTGGGACCCACTCTCCGGTAAGAATCTGCCTCTGGCTAAAATCATTGCATACTGTACCCTGCCAACTCAGCACTGATGCTCAGCCTGCAGAAAAGCTGATAAATGCAATCTCTCTCTCTCTCTCTCTCTCTCTCTCTCTCTCTCTCTCTCCTGTCTCTTATACACATCTAGATGTGTATAAGAGACAGGAGTTAGTGCAGCGATGACCCAAAATCCGGGAAATCGGAGAGTCTGACAACTCTCCGCGTACTCTCCGCTTTCCCGGAGAGTGGAGAGTAGTGCAGCGAGACCCAATGGCTAGCTCTGTGTAGCAGCTGTATACTGAGGCGTGCTCATACGAACCAAATGGAACCTGAAAGCCAAAGTCCCTCCTCAGATCAGCCTGCCTTCGCGCTATCGATCTCATCCAAATTTCAACTTTTAAAGCAAAGGCCTGAGCAGCCTGAATAATCTCTTGTATTTAGTGGACCCATCTTATATCAACCGTCACCCTGGTGGGCCTAAATCGGCCTGAACTGAGTCCAAGAAACCTTTTAACTCACTCCTACTAATCAAATACTGCTAATACTATAGTCTCAGTCTCTTCGCTCAATTATCTTAACTTCCTACTTTCGACCTAAAGGGCCTAACAGCGGCTCTTATGCGGGCTAGATTCAACTTTTCAGTCTCTTCATTTTATTTTATTTTATTTTTTTAAAAGGCTAATTCTTTTAAGCCCAACCAATTCAATTACCTGTCGAATCTGGACAGGACGGCCTTTCAGGCNCTCTCTCTCTCTCTCTCTCTCTCTCTCTCTCTCTCTCTCTCTCTCTCTCTCTCTCTCTCTCTCTCTCTCTCTCTCTCTCTCTCTCCCCGTCTCTCTTTTTTTCTCTTTCACATGTACATTCTTGCTCATTCACACACACACACACCTGATGAGTCGGTGACACTCCGACAAAACAGTTTGTCACAGCCCCGCATTTGTTGTCCTCTTCTCCCTCTCTGCCTACGGTTTACCGGGCAGGGCAGCTCTGCATGATGATATATACGTACACAGTTACATGAAATACACATTCTCTCACAGTTACATGAAGTACACAGTTACATGCCCACTAAAACATGTACGACACCATGCGGCAATATCTAACAACCATGCTTGTTTTTTCCCCCCACATAGATATGCACCCCTACATAACCAGGATAGTCCACTACCTCACAGCCCACAAACAGCACCATTCAGCCCAATGTTCGCCGACAATCATCGTACCCGCTTAATAAACATAATAATCATTCTACAAAATCTATACACTTTTAGAAGAGTTGTAAGCTCCACGAACCCACCTTACCTTCTTACACATACAAACATGAATATCCCCCTTCCGCCACCTACCCCCACTGCCATCCTTCCCATACCCACCTCTCGACCCCAAGTAAACTCTCCTTGCTCCTACATTATGTCACCCATTTGTTTCAATGCGCACCAACACCATCACCACTCTCAAATCTTTATCCCTGACTTCACCTGCCCAACAAAATCCCAACTTGCACCAGCCATCCAACCCCCACCGACCCCTCATGCTCCACATCCGCCCTTCCATAACATCAGACAAAACTAGTCCAGTTCCTAATGTTCCTCACATCACATCAGAAGACACTTTCACAGCTCTGGATGTTCCTTGCAATGTAGAACCATATCATAAGCATTGTGCGATCAGAGTCACGTCCGAAGACCCAAGGAAACGAAAAGGCAAGGTGGGGGTAGATGTGGTAGACCGTAAAACACTTTTCCCATATACGCAGGTAGCAGATCACCCTCACCCTTGAGACAACCTCTAGGGCGGTTCCGCAGCGATATCCTCCACTGGAGCCTATCCCACCTCTACTCCTACCAACAAGACCCCTAAGACATCATGCAACCGACCTCTAGCTACCCTAGCCTATAGCCAGGGCTATCAAGTTATTTGTTTGTACGGCCTGTAGGGCCAAGCCATTGGACTGACCCCACAGGCTGTATAGGTGTCCAAGCCAGTCCAGTCCGGTACCACCGTCGATACCAATACAGTCTAGTCCAGTTCAGTCAGTCCATTGAAGGTATACCCCAACTGCAGTCTATATTCTCATGCATTCTTCATTTGCACATCTTGGAATATGTGTGCGTTGAGTCTGCGTCGGAGTTGCGTTGTCCTTTCCAACTCCATCGCTATCTCCTCCTTCCTCCCCCTTTCATCTTGACACTGATAAAACTGCCACCCGGGCGGGTCCGTCACACTGGTATTTGAGTAGACTTTTTCCCCTGGTCCCCTGCATCACCCACCCTCTTCATTATTTGTCACGTGGCTTGACCAAAAAGCTTGCCAATTCTCCCTCCCAATAACATCGGTGCACATTTCTCCTTGCAACTGTGTCGAGTTGTTTCCACCAAGCCATAGATTGCGAACTTCCGTGCGCTAGTTTTAAACCTAATATCATTCAAAGATTGTGAGTTTTTTTCCGACTTCAAAACCGTATGCGCTTGTTTTTCAACGAGTGTTATTACTACATCCCGCGGCAGATGCTGCGCCATATCTCGTTGTAGGGGACTTTCAAAAAGTTTTCCGACGAGTCATTTTTTGCCAAATTTCACCCAGCGGGTGAAAAGTTATTGGCAAAATATTGTTTTCCCTTTTCCTCTCTTCTCTTTTCACGTGGTCATCTGCAGTGTCACGTGGCAACTTGCTGAGGGATGTGAAGACCCCTCTGGCTAAAGGGTTGCGTTGCAGTAACATCTAGGTGGATGATCAAGAGTTTAGCCTACCCCAGATATTTTTTTCAACTACAGATCTTGATGATCGGATCTAACTGCTGCAGCTGCAGTTTACCATTATCTTAAAGGCATCTTCTCCCAAGGAGTGTTTGCAGATCGGGATTCATAATATGTTGGTAATTTTTCAGCTCTTGGCGACCCGGGAACTGGGTATCACTAATCAATTTCCCTTCGCTCTCCCTTCTATTCCCTCATCATCTCTCTCTAAATCTACCCCTAATCCGTCACCTTCTCTAATTGTCTTTTCCCTCTTTCCGTACTCCACTCCTCTTGATTCATAGGATCTTGGTAATTCTTTTGCTCTTGACCACCCAAGAATTGGGTATCACCCTTCACTTACTAATCAAATTTCCTCCACTTTTTTTCCCTTTTCCCCTTTATCCCCTCATCATCTTTTTCTAATCCTACCACTAATCTCTCACCTGTTTAGATTGTTATTTCCCCTATTTTCCACTCCTCTTTTTTTTCCTTCCCAGTACTCTCGCATATCTCTCACTCTTCACTAGTTTGCATTGGAGTTGCCGTTGTCCCTTCCAACTCCATCACCATCCTTATCCCATCTCCTCCCTCTCCCCTTTGTCTTGACACTAATGGGACGGCCATCTGGGCCGGTCCGTCACACATCCTCTACTGCAGGTTCCCATCGATATCCTCCAATAGAGTCTTGTCCTATGTACCCTCCCCCCAGGGGAGTCCCCGATTGAAT